GAAGGTTTGAAGGTCATTCTCAACTGAAGAAGGGCTGATTTATTTGTAGTTTTTTGTGTTTCTAAAATTTATATATATATATTGTGATGATCTGTTTCTGGTGAGTCAGAAATTTAAAACTAATTACCTATTGAAAAAAATTAGCATTTAATATTTACATGTGTGTACTTTTTGGAAGTTTGTTATGATCTTTATATTGGTTTCTAGAATTTTTGAAGTTAAATCGTATAAAGTTGTGTGATGCCTATTGGATTTTCGTCTTCTTTTATATCTGGGTGAGTTGATTTGAAGTTGGATTAATTTAGGAATTATTTGTTCTGTTTTTATAGGAATAAGCAAACTTACTTTAGGGTTTAAACTCTACATTCTTGAAATTTTATGTTCATTTTGTATAAATCATTGCATACTCAGGAAATTAATTGAAAATACTTCATTTCCTTCTTTTTTAAGCTTTGCCCAAATTTATATTCTTTAGAAGTTACTCAAAAATATAGTTTTCAAAGTTTTAAATTTGGATTCTAAATGCTTAATGTGTTGGAGAACCTTTTATGTGTTTTGTTTATAAAATTATTGTGTAACTGTTATGTCTTTGGCATTTTAACCTTTCGATCAGATACTATGCAATTTTAGCAGACAAATTTGTTCCGTGATTTTTTATTTTTTGAGTTGAGTAGCAACACAAATTTAGATACACTAGTATCTTGGGCTGACCCTTAGTTACTTTTACTGAAAAAAAAGTGATAAAGATAAATAAGACGTATCCATGCAAACCGGTAATGAAAAATCCCAAATATATTATTTTTACATTTGGTCTGGTTAGTACTATCTGAAGAGCAAGTATGAAGAGCCCGGGCCTGAGTTTGGATCTGGGCATAGGCGAAGGCCGGAGTTCATGATCTCTTGGATTGTGTGGAGGAGTTCGTTGATGGTGGAGGTGATCGAGCTGATCGGTGGTGGACTTACACCATCAATATCAACTTCCACCATTACCATCCTTCTCTTCAGCCCGGTTCTCACCAATCTCGGTTTCCAAGACCTCGCCACCGATATCAACAACCGGGAGACCATCAAATGATGAATTGTCGTTGCTCTCTATTGCTGTATATCAGTATATGTGTATGTAATGTGTATATAATTGTCTGTGACTAGATAGAAGGGTGTTTTTGTCTTTTCCATTCAACTCAAAATTTTTATAAATATTATTTATATATAATTGATAGGCAAAATTGTAAAATTACACAATTCAGTTAGTAAAGTAAACGGCCATCATAGTGAAGGGAAGAAGGTAAAATATTGAAACTTAGAGGGTGTGTAAGTGGGATATGGTCAAAGATCAGGGGGTGTAGATGGAATTAACCCTAAAAGGTAATTACCAAAATAAAAATAGAAACCTGTGAAAGAAAAATAATATCTATATATATTACTAAAATTTTGTTTCTCTTTAGAAGAGCTTCACTCATTTTTTTTGGGTTACCTTATTATTTCTGAGGTGGATTCTACAGTCCTACCATAGTCAGTAATAAATTTCACCAAATGCCCAACTTAAATTTTGAAATAAAAAGAACTTTTGTTCAAACTTTAAATGAAATTTTCTTCAATTTCAATTCTAATGAATCAATTCAATATTCCAAAATGCAACATTATAGTATATTTGTTGATAAATTTACTTATTTTAGAGAAGTATATTTATTTAAATTTTAGTATGTGCGCATACAATAAAGACCACATAATATTGAACATTGAGAACAACAATATTGAACACTGAGAACAAGAAGATGTTTCTTAGGAAAAGGCTATAATATTATGTTGTTGTTGCAAAATGGAAAAATACGGGTTTTGTTTTTCTTTCAAAGAAATCTAAAGAAAAACAAAATTTTAGTAATATATACTGTTATTATTTTTCTTTCAAATGTTTTTATTTTGGTAATTACCTTTTATATAGGTGGGTTTGAAAAATGAGGGTTAAATTTAATCTAATGGTCCATATAAAAAGTGTGGATTAATTTTCTTACTCCACGAGGAATAAGAGATCAAGACTCATATATATATATATACATATATATTATATATTTACTAATTTTGTTTTGATTGCTTTGATTTCCTTGGCACATATTTGTGTATATATAAGGAGAGAGAGGTGGAAAAGGATAAAAAAGGGGAAGAACATGGAATCGTATTAGTAAGTAAAAAAAAAAAAACCTTAGTCACTTTTTTTTTTTTTTTGTTCAGTCCTTAATTCTTTGTAGATTTTAAGGTTAAGGAAGTAAGATTTAGTTTGTGGTGCAAGAATTAAAGTTGTTCAATACGACTGAATTCAACGCAATTAGGGTTCGAAATTTTCGATTTGGAGAAATTTTGAGAATCAAGTGATATACTAACCCTAATAACTCATAATTATATGATTTGTTCTTCCTTATAATTTTGTTTGAGTAGCATGTTCTGTATACATTTTTTATTTTTTTTATTTTTTTTTTTTGTTGAATTGTTTTAAAGTGAGTTTATTTTACATTTTAATTTTATTTTAATTTCAATCCAAAGATAAAATTAAATTATATAATAATATACTCTGTATAACGTATAGAGTGGTATCTATACATATGGTAAAACAAAAGTAAATTTTTTTTTTTTTTTAATAGGCTTGATTTGACACTGACTTGGTGATGACAAGGTTATGTTAAGGAGGTGGCGTTAATTACCACCGTTAGATACTCACTAGACGTCCAGTGAGAGAGTAACCGGAGAGGATTTTTTTTCGTTTAGCATAGCTATCATTATTCTCACTCCAAAATTATTTAATCACCCTCATAATTATTCTAAACGATGGGTACGGATAGATCGGGATATTTTGTCATCCTTAGTGGTGGTAAAGGCTATTAGTACCGTAAGAGAAAATGGTGGATTGAATGGGTAACAAACTAATACTTGATTAGTTGATTAAGTAGTGGAGGTTAATAGAATCAAGGTGGAAGGGAAAGGAAAAGAAAACTGTAATCTTCAAGGCGAGAAGAGAGGTGATATGGTGAAGTCGAACGACAAAAGGCTGGAAGATAAGCTTTGAGAAGTAGGGTTTATTTGGCAATTATTTTTATTTTACGTTTTTATTTTTATTTGAAATAAAAATAACATTTTTGTTATGAAGTGTGTTAAATAGTAATTGAAAGCATGTTTGGTAAGGTAAAATTTGCTATAAGATTTTTTTAATTAAAAATATGAAAACATATCAAAAGTGTGAAAATACTAGGAAACACCAAACAGGCCCTTAGTAAGATATATTAATTTATCAAAAAAAAAAAAAAAAAAGGAAAGAGAGAAGAGGATAAATTTGTGCTATAAAGAATTACTTGTTACCATTTTGAATTTTTTTTTCTAATCGTTTTCAAATGATTATATATATATATATATATATATATATATATATATATATATTTTGTAACTTATAAATATAAATTATAATAAAAGTGTAAGTTGCACAATGCCAAAAGAGGTGGTTGAATAGGTTTAACTTGCACCTTTGCCCCATTTTTTTATTATTTTAATTTTTAGCTCAATTAAAACAATCAAACACACAAACGCAATAAATAAAGTAAGATAAAATAAGAGCTGACCGTGAGATTTTTAGCGTGAAAATCCAAAACGAAAAAATCACGAAGACTTCATCGTCTCAAGCGAAACAATTCACTATCTCAAAGCAAAGATACACAAACTATGTGTCAGTCTCATACCCACTCCACTCTGCAAAGAACTAGTTACTAAACATCTCAAGCTTACTCTTGCGACTCCCCGTCCAATTGACGGTGCATGACTTCAAACTTACTCATCAATCCATGCAGAAGGTTTATTGAAAGAACATGACTGCTTCGCAAATACTCTGTCCCCTTCATAGTGTGATTGAAACCTCCTTCCTTATAATCACGAAGATAAAAGGAGAAAAACAAATCATACTTTTTCATCAGAATTAATATGATCTTCAATAAACTCTGAATACTTAATAAGTCGAGAATACCATTCTAAAATCACTCTTGTGAATCGTGCGTACTCTCAATAGAAACTCTAATTTTGCAAACCTAACCAAACTTAAACTTGTATGCAAGGACCGTATACTTAAACTTCTTGTTCAGTTACATGATCATGGCTCAAATTAGACACAAAAATACAATTCGGTCTTCGCATTTGACACCGAAATTATCCGACACAAAATTAAATTCCTCACAAAAAATAGTTGACCAATAATTTATCCATTGCGGTGCATTATTTGTACAATTTGATTAAAGAATTGGAATGTTTTGAGAACAAGCAACTTTAATTCCACAAAGTAAAAATAAAGAGATCAAACTTTAATACATTATTAATCAATGTGTGAATCAATAAAATAATCCCATCTACTCAAAAAAAGGCATACCAAACAGGTTGTTTGGGTCGCAGATTCAAACTCAAAGAGGTGTGCGTGGAACAATATTATTAATATCCCTGTTATGCACTTATGCTCCAAATTGATCACTTGACGGTCTAATGGAAGATTATTGTTTAAATCAAATATTTGAAATTATGGTAGCATTTGAAATGAAGACATTGATCCTTTCTACTTACTAGTCATGTCCATTTTGTACAACAAATTGTAGACCATGTATTTGCACACAAGTGGTACAATAATATACTAATTGAACACAGATTTCCTAATATATATATATATATATATATATATATATATATATATATATTAATGTACCCAAAAAAATATGTAATGTGTGTGTATAATATCTCACAAAGCTGTGGTCACTAGTAGGTGCATTTATATTTTATACTCCGTATATGGTTAACAAAGTAATATATATATATATATACACAGACATATATTTATATAGGCAACAAAACTTCCAAGTCTTCACTCTCCACCTAATTCTTGGCAACAGGAAGTCCATCTACCATGTCTTTATATTGACCACGTGCATGCCAAGTGACCTCTTTTTCAGCAATAAAAGTATATATACTTCTGCACAAGTTCCATGTACAAAAAAAACTTGAGCTCAAGAGTCATCACAGTCCAAACAGTAGACTCTGAAGCTTCTTTCTTATATATGGAGTATTGAGAACAGCAAAGGACTGGTGTTGAAGATGGCTAGAGTTTTTGGCGGGTTCTGGTTTGTGGTTCTTAGTGGGATCCTATTTTGCTTTGCCCAAGCCGATGACCATTACCTTGACTTCGTTGTAAGTATCATATACTTGCATTTCATGTTGTTTAAGTAATTAGAGAACTATACACATAATATATATACACACACACTATACATTTGTCTTTATGATATGAGTAATGATAGACACCATGAAATTTTATTTTAGGCCACAAAATTTTTCAATTTCTTTACAATAAAAAATATAAAAAAAAAAAAAAAAAAAAAAAAAAAAAAAAAGGTGCTTTAGAATTCATTCCGTCAAGTTTCAGTCGATTTTAAAGAGTAGTTTTTTCATCAATGTACTTCAATTCTATCATTCAAATTTCAAAATGGACAGAAGAAATATATATTTTTTTCATGATGAAAATCATTTTCCCTTATATACACATGCATGTTATTATACATTTACAAAAGGTACATAAGTGTTTTATTTATTTATTTTTTTTCGGGTAAGTGACATAAATTGCAATATTCATGAAAGTGTTTGCATTATAAGTATTAGAATTGCACACCTTTAATTGCAGTTTGTATCAGTAGCAAATTAGGGCAAGAGTGGTATAGAAAGTTAGGTAGCTAACTGGCAAATGTACCTGTTTGTTAGTTGGCTTTGGTCAAGTCTATAGTGTTAGAGCAAAAATAAAAAGCTCTAATAGACTATGAAGATTGGAATAATTAATTAATATTTGACATTTTGGTTTTGCTTAGTATTTTTGGATTTCTTGTTTTTGCAGATAGTGAATAGCAACTATACAAGGCTATGTAGCACGAAAACCCTGTTTGTTAGTTGGCTTTGGTCAAGTCTATAGTGTTAGAGCAAAAATAAAAAGCTCTAATAGACTATGAAGATTGGAATAATTAATTAATATTTGACATTTTGGTTTTGCTAAGTATTTTTGGATTTCTTGTTTTTGCAGATAGTGAATACCAACTATACAAGGCTATGTAGCACGAAAACCATGATGACTGTAAATGGCAGTTTTCCAGGACCAGCAATTTACGCCCGCAAAGGCGATACGGTGTATGTAAATGTTTTCAATGAAGGAGACTATGGTCTCACTGTTCACTGGTAAAATTTTCACATCTCTACATTTATATATATATATGTCTCTGTATATCAATGTCTATTTCAGATAATAAGAGACTCAATAGCACCAAATACAATATTGTTCATCTCACCAATTTTGATTTTACTTACACATGGTACTCCCAACCAATAAGCAGTCATAGAAATTCTCGAGAAAAAACATGACTGTTTTATTGGTTTGAGAGTACCACATTATAAATATCCCCCTAATATTGTATAGTTTCTTGACCAAATCCCATGCGTAGGTCTCCACCCTTATGCACATGCACATTACAGTGTGCACGGAAGAGGATTCGGTTCCCTCACACACCCGTTAATGTTCCACCTTCAAAACTTGAACCCTAACCTTCCATTTAGAAGGAAAAAGTAATACAATAAATAAAAATCATCACCCATTTTCTTAATATCGTTTGATCTTTTGCCTATGATGTTTCTCATGCAGGCATGGAGTGAAGCAACCGAGGAATCCATGGTTCGATGGACCAGAGTACATCACACAATGTCCCATTCCTCCTGGTACTAACTTCACTTATCAGATTATACTTTCTTCAGAAGAAGGAACAGTATGGTGGCATGCCCATAGCGACTGGACACGAGCCACCATTCATGGTGCCATTGTTGTATACCCTGCTGAGGGAACCACTTATCCATTTCCAGAGCCCGATGGTCAACAAATACTTGTATTTGGTATGCAAATTTTGCCATCACACACAAACACACACATATATATATACATATGTATTGGTAGCTTAGTCCTTAGGATTCAATTTTGATATGATACATTATGACCCTGCTGAGGGAACCATTTATCCATTTCCAGAGCCCGATGGTCAACAAATACTTGTATTTGGTATGCAAATTTTTCCATCACACACAAACACACACACATATATATACATATGTATTGGTAGCTTAGTCATTAGGATTCAATTTTGATATGGTACATTATGAAATTTAGTGGATGCAAAAGAAGCTTTCCTACTTTAACCAAAAATAAAAAATAAAAAATAAGAAGAAGGAGAAGAAGAAGCTTTCCTAATCTTTTGAAATATAAAATAGGCAATGAATAGCATATATCCACTAATTTTTTTTTTTCTTGAATGTTCAGTATTAATATGAAAAAGTTGAATAGAATTGAGAAAGGATTAGTGAACTTAGTGATGTTTGAAGCAATCATATATCATAGAAATATATATATTACATTCTTGTGGGACTAATCATTCTCCCAAATGTCCCTGCAGAATCATGGTACAAGGATGATGTAATGACACTGATGGACTATGCCCTCAAAAATGGAGGACTGACAAAATTATCGGACTCTTTTGCCATCAACGGTGAACCAGGAGATTTTTATCCATGTTCTAATGGTACAGTATTGTTATAATTTTCGAAAAACAGTTTTCAGAAACTGCAAATCAAATATATAAATTTGTATATAATTTTTTAATTTTCAGTTGTCTGAAAATAAGAAAGTGTTCTCAGAAAACTAAATCAAACATACCCTACATGTTTTCATTATAATGACAGTACCTTTTTTTCTTAATTTGTTAACCTTTTTGGCATTGCAGAAACAACATTCCACATGCAAGTCGAATATGGGAAGACTTATCTTCTTCGCCTAGTAAATGCTGCAATGAACCAAGATTTCTTCTTCGCCATAGCTGACCACAATCTCACAGTCGTTGGATGGGATGGATCTTACATCAAACCCCTCCCCGTCCCCTACCTTCTGATAACCCCGGGCCAAACCATGGACGTTTTGGTCACAGCAAACCAACCATTAGGAAAATATTACATCATTGCTAAACCCTACTTCGATGGACAAGCCGATGATTTCGACAAAAGTATCACTTCTGCAGTTTTTGAGTACAAAGGAAATCTTGATGAATCAATTCCTGCTTACCCAGTTGCCATTCCAGATTACTATGATGTAGCTGCGTCGGCATGGTTTTGGAATAAAACCAGGAGCTTAGCAAGTCCAGAACACCCTGTTGATGTGCCTCTGAATATCAGTACTAAAATGTACATTACACTCTCTATTAACATGATGAAATGTCCAAATGACTCGTGTTTGGGACCGGATGGGAATCGTCTTGCAGCAGGTTTGAACAACATTAGTTTCGCGAATCCAGACATTGATATACTACAAGCATACTACTGGTAATTAATCTCATTTCTATTACATTCAACTGTCATTCACATTGCATTAATATGTCGTACTTGCTGAAAACTATATTGGTGTGTTTGGTTCAATTTTTTGAAAACAGTTCTCGCCTGCTTGGTTTAATTTTAGAACATTTTTCTGTTTTCTGATATCTGAGAACTAAAAATAGGAAAATTGTACAAAAACCTGTTTGGTTGATAGTTTCTAATAACTGTTTTATGAAAACTTAGTTTAAAAAATATAGATATTCATAGTTTTTTTTTTTTTTTTTTTCTGATGATGAGTTCTTGATAACTGTAATCAAACAAATGCATATAACTAAGGTATGGTATTTTTATGATTAATGAATGTAAAGATTTTAATTTGATTACACAGGAACATGACAAGTTACTTTGAAGCTGACTTCCCCAACAAGCCACCATCCCTCTTCAACTTCACATCTGATGATTTGCTGACGGACAATGTTACGTTTTCGGATCAAGGGACTAAGGTAAAGATGCTGAATTATAACGAAACAGTGGAGATAACATTCCAAGGGACTAATGTGATGAACTCAGGAGAGAATCATCCAATACATATACATGGTTTTAGATTCTATGTTGTTGGATTGGGTAAAGGAATTTTCGACAATGTCACTGATCCACTGACTTATAACCTGGATGATCCACCTGAAGCTAACACAGTTGCAGTCCCAAAGGATGGTTGGGCAACAATCAGGTTTAGAGCTGATAATCCTGGTATGTCCTTTAACTTCCAAATTTAATTTTACCCTACACAAATTTGCCTATACTTTTGAGGGTCGGTGTTGATGCAATGGTAAATTTGTTCTATTGTGATCTGGTCTTTGACAATCTCTAACACTCAAGATTTCACAATGACAGGAGTCTCGTTCTTTATCCATTGTTAATCAAAATTTTCAACTATACTAAGTGGAATGAATATTTTTTCCTGCAGGTGTGTGGTTTATGCATTGTCATTTCGACAGGCATATGAGTTGGGGCATGGATGCTGCATTTATAGTGAAAAGTGGCGGCACGCCGGAGACGAGTGTCCTCAGCCCGCCTGCATATTTGCCTTCTTGTAGTTCTGATGAGTCTCTGCTTGGCCACATGAAGTCAGTGTTGCTTAAAGAAAGTAAATGAATGAATTCTTAGCAAGGAATTGAGCAAGGTGGTGCTAGACATACAAGACACTACCATTGTGAGGAAAGGCCTTGCTTTCAGCTATCAGTTATTTTCAGGATTCCATTTTTGAATTCAAGTTTAGGTCTTTCAATTGTTACTTAGGTTAACGAACATTATGATGGAGAAGGAAGGCAATATTGTATCTCTGTTGTCCCTCCATTATTTGTCAAAGATTTTTTTTTTTTTTTTTCAGATTAATTATTAGAAAAAGAATGAAAAGAGAAGAAAACTAATGCACTATTCAAATGTTTTGGTTATGAATTGGATACAGAATGAATGAATCTGTTTATTTCTATCCTTAATGTTTTACTTATTTGAGAATTAATGCTTGTTTTACATTGCTCAAATTGAATTTTTCGAAGTTCATTTGCTGTGGTATAATTTGTTTTTTTTTTTTTTTTTTTTTTTTTTTTTTTTTGCCGCAACAAATAACACACTCATCTATTTGCTCCTACTGGAACTTGAACGTAGTTCGGAATCTTAATGAGATATCACTGCTCTTTGGTGTTATGGTATGATATTCAAATATTACATAGTGTTATTGTTGAGGTTGTGTAGACTATTTCACTTAGAAGGATTACAAGTCAGATGAAGATTTTGGCTATTGACCAAAATGGACCAGTTCAAATATTTTGAACTTTTTCACTTGGGGTGTGTTGTGAATAATTTAACCCAATTGGACATGTTCATCTCTAGTAGTGAGCTCTCCAGAACATGATTGTAACCCAAATTGATTGTGTTAAAGTTTTTTTTGGATATGTTCATCTTTCGCTGGGAATCTGCCGGAAATTAGTTTTCAAGTTGGTTTTTGACTCTCCAAAAGGCTGGACTTGTGGGGCAAGTTGTGTTTCTTTATATGAGACTATTTACACTAATCTTAATCAGACTTTAGGGTGGGTGAAACACTTATGGTGATTTCTGCAAAAGTGAGTGAAGCTTTTGTGAGAGACAACTGAGGAACAATTATGTGAGAATTGTGAGTGCCTTAATTGTTTAGTGATTTCGTGCCTAGCTACACAAGAAAGAGAGAAAGTTGAGAGTTTGAGAGGAATATCTCCATGGTAATACTTCATACTTTCACGGTGGAATTTATTCGGTGCGGTCCATCAACATAGCCCTAAGTTTTGGGTGAACCACATATATTTTGTGTTCTTGTGATTTTTTTTTTCTTTTGATTGCTTGTGATTATTCCTCGAACATCATTTTTTTGCATTTTCACCACAACAACTGGTATCAAAGAGCATCCAGTTGTCTTCGTAACAACGGATATTAGAGCCTTTGGTTGAAAACCTTGGGCATAGAAAGTCTAAAGATTTCCTGTGAAGTATTTTGTATTTTACATGTTTGTTCGAGTGTGAGTAATGGCATCATAAAATAAAACATCTATATCTATAATTGAGAAGTTTGATAACACAAACTTGGCTTCCGGAAGATGGAAATAGAGGATATCTTGTTTTAGAAAAATATATATCAACCCCAAAGGTTGGCTCATGTGGGTAAGTCCCTTGGCCCTGGTGCCTCATGAAGCATCAGATCTAAGGTTTGACTCCTCTTGGGTGCAAACAATTCCATGGAGGAGGGTTGTGTGGGTATCAACTAGAAAAAAAATATGTATCAACCTATGGGAGATACAAAAGATGATGTTTGGGAATTGTTTGATCGGAAGGCTCTTGGCACCATTAGATTGACATTATCAAAGTCAATTACCTTCAACATCAAAAACGAGAAAATGACGAGGTCTTTCATGGCAACCTTTTCTAATATGTATGAACAGTCATTTGTAGCGAACAATGTGCACTTGATCAAGAAATTGTTCAACATTAAGATGGCTGAAGGTGGAAGGTTCAACGAGCATCTAAATGCGTTCAACGAGATTGGCAATTAGAGTATATTGATATTGACTTCAAAGACAAGTTCCAAGCACTGCAAATTTTAAAGCAATTACCCAAGAGTTGGAATAGCAGATTTATAGCAATCAGTAGCTATGTAGGGAAGACTAATAAAGTTGAAAATCGATGAAGTTCTTAGCATGATTTTGACTGAGGAGATCAGAAGACAAACAATAATGGTTTCTACCAGTGATGAGAAGAATCAGATGATGCATTGATATGCTCTTTGAAAAGCAAAGTGGAGTCATGGGTATTAGATTCCGACGTATCGTTTCATAGTACCTCAAGTAAAGAGTTATTCAATAGTTATGAACTGGGTAACCTAAGCAAGTTGTATCTTGGTGGCGATTAACCCTGCAGCGTTGTTGGCAAGGGTGAAGTATAGATCAAGCTGAACGGGTCAGTTTAGAAGTTAAAGGATGTTTGGCACATTCCAAACTTAAAAAAGAATATGATTTTGGTTGAACAGTTATCATATGAAAGTTTTGTTATAACCTTCAATGGAGACTCGTGAAAGATTTCCAGAGGTGCTATAACTGTTAAACGTGGTAAGAAAACTGACACTCTCTACACGACTACTAGTGCTTCTGAGTCGATAGTAATTGCAGAAAATAAGGATGATTATAACCTTTGGCATCAGAAGCTAGGTCATACGAGTGAAAGGGAGCTCAAGATTATGCATTTGAATGGAAACTACCAGGTATACGGGTGATTGATATTGAATTTTGCGAGAATTTCGTGATGAACAAACAGAAGAGAGCTAGTATAAAGAAGAGTGGCAAAGATCACAGAAAAGATAAACTTGAGCTAGTTCACACAGATGTCTGAGGTCAGCCCCTGTCTCATCTATTGGCGGAAAATCCTACTTCGTAACTTTCATTGATGACCACACGAGGAAGGTATGAGTTTATTGCTTGAAGCACAAATATGAGGTGTATGAGATAGGTATTCAAAAAGTGGAAGGTCAATGTGGAGAATGAGACGGGTTTTAAGATCAAGAGGTTGATGTCAGACAAAGGGCTACACTAGGAAGCAGTGAAGTGGATATTGAGATATTTATGGGATACCATAGACAAATTGTTTCAAAGGGGGTTAGTTAAGGCTATATATGGTTATGTAGATGAAAACTTTATTGGTGAGGTAAATCGTTGAAGAAGTACTATAATGTATTGTGATGCCCATCGACTTCGAGACATAGGTTGATCAGGCACAAGCCCAAACCCGAGGGGAATATCAAACAATTAAGTAATGAACAAGCATTAAGTACAAAAAGAAATAATAATAAATAAATAAGCGAAAAAAAAAAAACTAAATAATAACTCCTTAAATAAATAATCATCCAAATGAAATATCCAAAACCTCCGATATCATTATGTAATACCCCTAATTTTAGAAGGATAGTTTCAGTATTTATTTATTTGTTTTAATTGCGTTTTTAATTGTTTAATTAATTATTTGGCTAATTGTTATATGTTTAATTGACTTGGTTATTTAATTTAAGTTGTGTGTGCTTAAATGGTTTATTTGAATTAAATTGTCGTCTGATGTGTTTGCTTTATTGATGTGCTTGTTTGATTGTATTTATTTGTTTAAGTGTTGTTTGTTGATGAATAGTTATTTATTAAGTTAAATGTTATTTTAATTTATTTTATATTTTTAAAAGGAGATAGATTTGGATAATAGTAATAGACCAATCCAAAGGGTCACATGGACTACTTAGATAGGAGGTTTGATGGGTATAGATGATTACCCATGGATATTAGTGTGTATATATATATATATATATATATATATATATAATATATATAAGGATGGTTTATTATTATCAGTATTATTAATTGTAAATTATTAATAATAATATGCTATTATAGTCAGTATTATATATATATAATTAAAGTTAATTATTATTATTATTATTATTATTATTATTTTATTATATATATATGTATCTCTATATCACGTATATAGTTAGTATATATATTATGATATTTTCTTTTCTTTTCTTTGTTTTCCTTAGCAGACTTAGTTTTGATATAGGATTAGGTCAATTATGATAAGGCCAATATATATATATGTGTTGTAGTCTATAGTGGAGGCTAGGGTTTATATTACATGATATTATGTACATAGAGAAGAGAAATACAGATAGGGTTTTGGAGAGGAAAACCGAGAGAGAGAGAAAGAGAGGCTTGGCCAAAGGTTAAGGCCGAGCCAAAAAGGAGGGAAAGAAGACTGTTCAGGGGTTTAGGACTGAGCAGCAGGGGCTTCGACGACGGCCAAGGATCGCCGAAAAAGCTAGGAAGAAGAGGTTAAGGTTTCAATCCGAAACCTAAAGGCAAGTTCTTCTTCTAACTCTTTCCCATAGATTTCGTGTTCTATGCATGCCTAGGTTAATTCTAGGAGTAATTAGATAATAAATTGATCTTTTATGCATACTTAATTAGAATTAAAACTGAGTTTATATATTTAAGGTGTTCTTGCTTGATCTTGAAAATTCTTGTATAAAACCTTATTTTAATTCGTGTTTAAGATGTGTATGGACTTTATAAATTTATGGATCATCTGGGGCTTGGAACGGAAGGTTAGGAACCTTAAGGAAAATGATCAAAATGATCAAAGAACACTGGAAATGAGGAAGACGGAGAGTAGCAGGAATGTAGGCGGCTCCATTCGAAGTAGAGGTGGCTTCATTCGAAAGGAGACGGCTCCATTTAAAGTGGAGGCGGCTCCATTCGAAGTGGAGGCGGCTCCATTGGGAATGGAGGCGGTTTCCGAGCCTGCTCCTTTCAGAAGGGAGCATATTCCATGGATGGGACTTCTACGGGATAAATATTTTGATACTGTTTTGGGATTTTAAGGTTCCAGTGATAGTTTGGATGACGTTGGGGGTTTAAATTAATATCAATTGATATGTTAAAATCCCAAAAAGCATAATTTATATTCTTATGCTAATAATTTGAACAATATGTAATTTTAATTAAACTGATATATTGTTAATGGATGATTTATTTGCTTAATATTATTTTAGCAAAATAAATGGATATTGGAGGATGTTAGTCTTAGATTGGCAGTATAATATAATCAGGTATTGTTTCCGATATTATTATACTTATTTATAGATTTAATTGATGTACCGTTTTATTTCTTCCTCAATTATTGATAACGAAGGATTTAATTACTTTGAATTATTTCATCAAGTTAAATGGAGATTATATGATTTAAATCTTGTGTTGGTTGCATAATATGATTCTTTATATCTGACTATTATTATGTTAATTCCTGGATTTGTTGATGTATT